GCCTGGCTTCTTTGTCACTTCCCTTCTTTACATGTATGAATCTGTTCAAAATAGCTTTACACATCAGGCTGTCTTGGGAGTGCTTTCCAAAACTGCATAGTAAGTTTTGGTGTGGTAGCAAGTTGAACATCTACTTCGATTAGCTTCAGAACTCTGTGAAGCAGAGCATTGATAGAAACTCTACTCAATAAAACCATAGATCCTGGCTTGGAAATCTGCCAAGTTTTAGTTAATTCTTCGACATTATTGTCAGAGACTACGGTTCAGTTTCTTTTTCAACAATGTGAACCTGAACTGACACGTTAAAAATACAGACATATTTTTAATTTTTATCCATCCTATCAACTGTGATTATGCTATTTTATAGGTATGAATTTGATGTTAAGTATCTTTAAACATTGCAGTTACTTGCTTGTCACGTTTGTTTTTTTGTATTGGTGCTTTTGTTAAAATACTTATAGTTAAGTTGTTTTAGAGTATTTTCAAAGATGTAATTTATATAAATATTTTGGTTGAGTTTCTTTAAATTCAAAAGCATAAAAAAACTAAGGGAAAAGCTAGCTATTGTTTTAATTTTAAAGAATATAAATGTGATATCCAAAGAACTTTAATTACTGTCACAATCAATTATTATGCCTACTCGGTTCATAAGTCTGTATCAATTACCTGCAAAACAAATAAATATAAATGTATATGCTGTCTGTTGATATTTATGTAGTATTTAGTCTTTTTATGATTTGCTTAAGTCATAGTCTGGCATCACATAAAACATTTGAGTGGCTGAAGCTTTTACTTTCAATCTAAATGTTTTAGGATCTCTTGACAGGATTATTACGATATAAAACATTGAAAACACGATTATCCAACATAACTTGTGTGACGCGTAAAGTGGAAGTTTGAGTACAGTAAAAAGGGAAACCATTGCCAGTTAGAAACATGTACAAATATTTTATGTTAAAAGCCCTAGTTTCTAGAGAGAGAGTCAGCACATCTCTTACATTTTAAAATTAATGTGTTTATCTTAACCTATTCATTAGTGCCAACGGTGAGCAGTTGAACTGAAAAACTGGCATTATCCCTGATTTTGGTGCTTGTGTTTATTGGTTAATTACTGCCACCCAAAGTAATCTTCCCTCTGTGCACTCCTTTCTAGGAAATATTTGATAATTATAGGTGGCATTGTGAAAACTATTTTGTTTTCTTATACTTTTTTTGGTTTTCCGTATGTAGTTGATTTGTCTCATCATGTTTCATGTGTAGTTGATTTGTGTTACTAATGAGATTGTTGTTTTATTCAGGGCACCATCAGGTATCCTGGGCCGTTATGTTATGTAGATGGATTTAATGATTATTTGCTAAATAAATCAAGGTACCACAGGAAGAAATAAAATTAATAACAATATGTTAGTAATCCTTGAACAAACTTGTAATATGTTTCTTAAACTAAAAGCTCTATATTTTTATTGACTTTTTGCTCACAGTGATGAATCTAGAAGGGAAAGTAAAAGGAAGTAAAATGAAGCAAAAGAAAGGGGGAATTGAAGAGGAAGAGGAGAATTGGGAAGGATCAGAGAGGACAGGGAGAGAAGGGGAACGGAAGAGAAGTAGAAATGTGGGAGATGAAGGAGTAGGGAAAGGAAGAGAAAAAAAAATTCAGATAAGAAGAGAGGGAAAACCTGAAGAATAGAAACAGAAGATTGAATAGTAAGTTTCAGTAGCATAGAAAACAACAATAATTTACTGTTTGGACTCTTACTATGTGCGAAAAACTATGATCGATTCTTTACTCGGATAATCTCATCCATCACTCCCACCAGTGAGTGCTGCCACATTGTCTTCCGTAAGGAAGGTTAGGTCACTTACTAGGGACACTTAGCAGGGAAGTAGCTGAGCTGGGGTTTGAACCACTTCGTCTGTTTTACCCTAGAACCTGGTCAAGTCCAGCTCCACTGCTCAGTGATCATACCTGAGGTTGCCTTGTCTGACATTCCTTCCCTCCACAGCATGCCCAGGAACTTCCCATCAGTGCTTTCCTTTGTCTCTCTCCTCTGACTTCTAACTCTTGAAGGAGAAAGATTCCCATGTAGATAACATCACAGTTAATGATAGAAAATTCCAGAAGAGTTTAGGCATATATCCCAACTTTTTATTAATGATTTGGTTTCATGTTGTGCATGTGTGTATTTTCTAGGGTTTTGCTGCAAACACATACAAGATGATTTTTTGAAATGCCTTAGTATAATGAATGAAAGAGGGTTAGGTAATGAAAATGAAAGTTATGCCTTTTGAATTGAAAAACTTAGACAGTAAATTATATAATTTAAAGCAGAAGTAAATGATTCAAAGTTTAAATGGTGAAAATAAAAATCAGTTGTCTGTTTAAACTCACTATTTGATATCACTGAAAGTTATTTTTAAAATTAATATTGTTTTAAAGCTCTGATTCAAGTTTTGTTCTTGTGTAAAATAGAGTTGTTTTTTTTTTTTTTTAACTGTGATATTTAAACCAGCTTTGGTTGAGAAAGGAAATGGGCATTGATTTGCATTACTTATTATTTATTATCATAACAATATGAATAGGGGTAGGATGGATCATTCCCAAAGTTATTGCTAGCTAATTCCTTACTTTAAAATTTTACTTCCACTAACCTCTTTACCCAAGATACTTAAAGTGCAAACCTGTGTGATATGAATTTGTTTCTCTTCTTGCTCCTGCCTGCCCTCTGGTGTAGATGACGTGGAACAGTGAAGACAGTCAAAATTTTAAGTTCTGAGATATTCTGAGTTTGAAAAAGAAAAAAAGAAAAAGAATAAAGGGGGATATATTTTCAGTAGACTCTGACACAAAACAATTGTGTCATTTTTTTAACGAATTTTAAAGACATCCATTTTCAAGTACATTATGTATTGTTCCCTATGCATTTTAATGTGGCAGTGGATTCTGATATTCTCTTCACTGTGACATGTAAGACAAACTTTTATATCACAAATTTAAAATGTTTTACTTATGGTATTTTTGAAATTGTAGGAATGTTACTGAAAAAATTAAAACTAAGTACGGCTAAAACATACTTTATGATATAATGGATGAATATTGAAGATAAAATTTCATTGTTGCAAAGTTGTATCCTTGACTGGTAATATTGCGAATTTTTTCTTTACATTTTACTTTGGTTCTGTGTTTTCTGATTTTTCTGTAAAAATCATATGGTAAAGTGTATAATAATATAAATAATGTAGAAATTTTAAAAATAATGAACCAATTAAGTATATATATATATATCAAAGAATGAGTTATAGTGTTCATATGAGTCTTCCAGCCAATCATTATCCACTGTTTCCATATAAATATAGTCATGTGCCACATAATAATGTTTTGGTCAACAGTAGACCACATGTAACAATGTTCCCATCAGACTGTAATGTCCTAGCAGAAAGCATTACTCACCTGTTTGTGGCGATGATGATGTGAACAAGCCTACTGAGCTGCCAGTTGTGGGAAAGTACAGCACATACAATTATATACAGTACAAAATACTTGATAATAACAATAAATAACCATGTTACTGGTTTACGTTTTTATTATATTATACTTTTATCGTTATTTTAGAGTGTATTACTTCTACTTATAAAAATAAAAAGTTAGATGTAAAACAGCCTCATGCAGGTCCTTCAGGAAGTATTCCATAAGAAGATAACATTATTATCCTAGGAGATGACAACTCTATGTGTGTTATTGCCCCTGAAGATCTTCCAGTGGTACAAGAACTAGAGGTGGAGATAGTGATATTGATGATCCTGACTCTGTGATGGTCTAGGCAAATATGAGTGTTTGTGTCTTAGTTTTTAACCCCTCCTAAAAAATAGTCAAAAATAAAAAAATAGAAAAAAACTGTATTTTTAATCTTTTATACCATATTTTTAGTGTACATTTTCTATGTTTAGATATATTTAGATACACCAATACCTATATTGTGTTAAACAGCTGCTCACAGAATTCAGTACAGTAACATGCTGTACAGGGTTGTAGCCTAGGAATAGGCTACACCATCTAGCGTAGGTGTGGAGTAGGCTGTACCATACTGGTTTATGTAAGTTCACTCTCTGGTGTTCACACAATGACAAAATCACCTAAGGATGCATTTCTCAATGTATCCCAGTTGTTAAGCTACACGTGACTGTGCTTTCAAGAAACACTTTATAACTTTACCTTATTTCCTACAAGAAGAGATTCCACACAAAACTTGCACATAGCTGAAAAAATGTTTATAACTGCAATATATGTTCAAGAAAAGATCGGCAGGATATTTAAGAAAAATAACTTTTTAACATTGTAGTTATACACTGTTGCATGATCATTACATTATTTCATGAAATTTGATTAACTTGGCTGAAAATCTATAAAATTTATCTCATATATGAGAATCATAAGGAATATAATTTAGCTGTGATCCATAAACAGACACACAAACATATCTCTTGCAAGTTATCCTGTGACTTATTGGCACCCTAAAAATCTAGTGATCCTCTAAAAAAATGGGTATCAATTTTAGATAGGCTTTTAATACTTTTTATTAACATGGTAATTTGGATAGTTAACTAACCAGGTTAACTGTAATGTAACCAGCTAAACTGACTATACCTCTGAAGTGTATGGATTCACACTGTTAAGCTAAAGATAGGTCATTAAAGAGAGGAAGGAGGGGAGTGGGAGGAGGAGGAGGCAGAGGAGAAAGGGTTGGGAGAGAGGCAGAAAGAAGGAAGAAATAAAAGAAGGAAGGAAGGAAACAAGAATGGAATGGGCTCTTAAAGAGTGACTTAGTGTAGTATTCCTAAGAAATTTCTAGACTGTCTGATTTTTTTTTTCTTATATTTTTCTGTCAGGTTCATTTATGATTTCATTGCTGGATGTTAAAAAAATGATGTGGAATGCTACTGGGAAGAAATAATCAATTTCTTGATATTTGCTCAACAATTAAAATAGAGACTATTTACTGTTTGGCTTTCCTTGGTGAAAAAAATTTTTGAGGATTTTATTCTACTGATTTAGTAAGTATAATGTACTAAATTATGCTTAACGTTTCTTTAATGGTTTGATATCTTTCAATTATTACCAAGGATTATTTTCTTTTATATAAAATTTTAAAACAAAATCAAGTAAAATGAGGATTTAATTAACAAAGATTTACTTTTATTATCTCTTTTGATGTCTTTCTCCTGCTTCAAATAGAGGGATACTAATATTATAATAAATTGTGAAAAATACATTCTGATACATTGTTTTATTGAGATATTTGATATTTGGGATATATCCTCATTATTGCTAATCCACTGTTCATCTGGATGTTAACATTTATAAATATATATGATTTGTCTTTTCTTCTATTTCTTATGTAAACATTATTATTATCAGGCTAAATTCATGTTTTTATAATATTGTTATGTTTTATATTTGCATGTAATTGCCTTTTTTATTTCTTAGTTGACATGTTCTGTCTTGTTTATCATCCAAAATGCTTGGCTTGTGTCTCAGTGGCTGGATTTTGTACAAGTTTAGTATGACTTGATATGAAAGTATTTCTTTTTTAAATCCCTTTTCATAATTATAACATTAAATAAAACAGTCCAGTTTCTCACTGGCCCTTTCTTTTTTTTTTTTTTTTTTTTGTCTTTTGTCTTTTTCCGTGTCCGGCAATGGATCGCAACCCTCAGTGTTGCCCCCGTACCGGACTGGGGACCAGCAACGGGATCGCAACCCTCGGTGTTGCTCCCGCGCCTCGCTCAGCCAGTGAGCGGGAACCGGTCTGTATGTGGGATCCGAACCCTCGGGCGGGAGCGCCGCTGCGCTTCCCAAGCGGCGCACT